CTACCTTAAGTATGATTCAAATGTTGCATTAGTAATATGTATACTTTGCTAATTTATTGTACTGAACCTTAAACTATCCATTTAATTCTCATCTTTTCTATCTCATGTCTCAATTACAGGAAGCACGGACGTGGGTCCTGTGAATAAACTGCGCACATTCATCAGTCTTGCGCATTGCAGGGAGTCATTGGATTTGAGATTAGGCAAAACTTACCTTATCATGGGCTCATCCCGAGATATTACCGCAGATGAAAATGACCAAGCGTAAGCTTCTTCTTAATAGGAATGTGTGTGGTGTGTATTTAAATGTTTTAACTGTTTTATGCTGTTTGTTACTAAATCAAGTTCTAGTTTATGTTTCTGTCTCTATTGGCAGAGTAAATTAACGTAAAGGAGGGAGGAGGATATTTCATATGTTAGTGTATGACAGATAGCTGTTAAGAAGAACCAATGCATTTATTTCCCTTTTCTTTCCTCAGGTTTCAGTATTTTCTTAGAGAGAGAACCTGGATTGAGTATTGGCCCACAGACGCAGAGTGTCAAAAGGATGAATACAGACCTACCTGTACGGGCTTTGAGAATATGGTCGACCAGTACCAAACGTTTGGGTGTCAGCAGTAGTGAAACTAAACAAAATGTTTTTCAAATTACTTTTATTTGGGATTTTATCCTTCTATGTAAATCTTTCCAGATTATGAGATCTATTGGGGCCAACAATGTTACACTGTAGTAATTAAAATCAAATGGACTCAAAACCATTATTAACAGTCGTGTTCTCATTGATGTACAAAAATTATCCAACTGGTCAAATTCCCAAGAAGAAAAACGTTCCTTTAATCTAATGGTGTGTGTTTAAATGATCTATTTGCAATTTCTAATCTAGTCAAAGTCCTGTTTGTCAATTGAATTGATTTGTCAATAGCTGTGATCTTTTTTTTAACATTAAAACGCTTCAACAAAGGGAAGTGGCAAGTAAAGTGAGTTTAGGAGAAGACCAGGTAACAAATTGCTGAGGAGCGAGAGGACAAACGGTTGAGAGGAATTAGGAAGGACGAGCAAAATCCGAATAAAGCGGTCGCTGAGGGAAGAAAGATGAAAGTGTAATACAGAAAAATGAAGCAAGGGGAGAAGGGAAAGACAAGCAGGAGATCTAAAATCTTACTTTAGCCAAACTTATAATACCAAATCTTGCTTATAATACCATATTGCCCACCAAGATAACGCTATGGAGGGCAAGCTGGTATAGCTCTATAATCTAAAAGATTTTCCCCACTGCCAATTGACACAGGTTGATAACTTCTTGTATTCATCACATCTCTCAATTCTATACATTCAGTAAATATTAATGTTTTATTTGCTTTTAAGTGTATGCTTAAAAACTCAAAGCTAGTAAATTGGAATGAGTAAAAGAAACATTTTTAAATAGAAGAACAAAGTTATTTTGTGGGGCTGGACGCTATTGCTCTTCTGGAAAGAAGAATGGCAACAAGAAGGACGTTTGCTCCTCGGTAAAACCCTCAAACCCGGAACCTAAAGCAAACTGTGCGGTTATGGTGTTCCACCAAATCAGAAGGATCTAGGCCAGTTTGGCAAGACGGCCTTAAAACATATGAGAAGGCTCTCCATAACGCAAGAGCATCTTATTAGTCATTAGTCTCCTGCCTTCAACCAGTGCCGACCTGCACTAGTTGAACTACTTGGATGTGTCATGATCCTAAGACGCGGAAGCAGATATGCGAGTGAAAGCCAAAGTTTATTAGGTCAGAGTCAATAATTGCAGTCCCCAAGCTCCCGAGATCCTCCTGGTGGTGGGTGGCGCATGGGTGGGGAGGTCAGCCCGTAGCCCGGGGAGAGGGATGATGATGAGCCCAGGGTCAGAGAGATCCGGCGACGACAAACTCAGGAACACAGGAACACAATACGAAGCACGAGACTGGACCGCCGACAGGAAGGAACGCACGCACGCACGCACGCACGCACGCACGCACGCACGCACGCACGCACGCACGCACGCACGCACGCGAGACCATCAAACGGGAGACATCAAACAACGATCTGACAATGAGAGGAGGGACACTGTGAGAGTCTTATATAGGTGGCGAAAACGAGCTACAGCTGGCACGCAAAGTGTGATCAGCTGTCCTGTTGATTATGCTGGGCTGCTGACTCCGCCCACTTCACACAGCCCCACATGACACACGAATGTTGGAGTTTTCTTCAACCAGGTTACGTCCTTCAAATCTCATATAAAGAAGACTTCAAGGACTGCCTTTTTTCATCTACGTAATATGAAAACGTGATTCAGAACAATTGGTTAATGCGTTTGTTACTTCTGGATTAGACTAGACTGTAATTCTTTGTTATCAGTCTGCTCTTGTGAATCTCTTAAGCCTCTCTAGTTTATTCAGAATGCTGCAGCACGTGTATTAAAATAACTAAGAAAAGGCATCATATTACTCCTCTATTAACTTCTCTGATACTTCTCCTCACCTACAAGGCACTTGTTGGCGAAGCACCGTCTTATCTTAAAGAGCTTGTAACACCGTATTGCCCTACAAGGCAGCTGCGCTCCATAGATGCTGGGTTACTTGTTGTTCCTAGGGTTTTAAAAAGTAGGCTGGGAGACAGAGTCTTCAGTTATCAAGCTCCTCTTTTGTGGAACCAGCTTCTACTTTCAGTCCGGGGGGCAGATTCGGTCAGCTCTCTTTAAGATAAAGCTTAAGCTCTTTGATTTTGCTTATAGTTAGGGCTGGCTCAGGTTAGTCCGGACCAGCCCTTAGTTAAGCTGCTACAGGCTTAGACCGCCGGGGGACTTCTTAGGACACACCGAGCTCTTCTCTCACTCTCTCTTTCTACAGTAATCCACGTTTTATTAATGCACATGACTAATTCAGCTTCTTTCCGGGAGTTTTTTTATGCTTTCTTGCCTAACAGGTCTCCGTAGATTGTAGTTCCTTCTGGACCCAGGTCCAATAAAAAAAATAAAAATAAAATGAATTGAATTGAATTACCTGGTGGACCATTCACATCACTCAGTCTATTTGAATACTGAATATGAATGTATATGTAATTTCTTGTGAAAGTGGCAGGACTCTCCTGGACAGGTTTCACCCTGGAGGCATGAAAGGTGGGGTAGATCTTCATGGCCCCCGGCAACTGAACTTTGACAGTTGCAGGGCCAGTTGTGACCACATCAATGGGCAGACCATGCAGGCGGAACACCTTCTGCAGCAGTAACTCTGCTGTCTCTTTAATGAGTTGGGCCGATTTGGAGAAACGATCAATCACTGTCAGAATAACTGTGTTTCCGTCAGAGGGGTGTAGGCTGGTTACGAAATCCAATGCGATGTGGGACCAGGCGCGATGAGGGATGAGCAGAGGGTGAAGAAGGCCGGATGGTGCTTTGCAAGAGCTCTTATGCTGAGCGCAGATCAATTTGTGTCAGTCTTCCTCAGAGCGAAACCACCATCCATCAGACGATGAAAGGAACCGCCCTTCAACCAGCTGCTGTGTCTGTTTCTGATTACTATGACGGTGAGTCACTTAGAAACAAATAATGTTATGTACTTTGCTGCCGATGAATGCCAGAGACAACACTGTGGATAAGCTGTCTATATTAAATTTATAAAGTCTTTTAATACAAATTCTCTGATTTACTGCAGCGATCACAAACTTTTTAGATATCTTTCTTTTCCATTGCAAAAAAACTTGTGAAATATATGTATATTACTCTATTCTCATTGCAACAAATTCCATATGACTATCGGTAAGACACCAGATTGTAACATAATGACTAGAACTTTTTGTCAGAGGCAACACCCCCTCCAGGATCCTAGGATCAGAGCAGCAGTCTCGTCAAAGAAGTACTTAAATTGTGATTTAGGTACATTCTCACTCACTCATCATCTCTTACTCTCACACACACATGTGATTATGTCATAGAGAATGTCATTATGCCACAAGTTGTGTTCTCACCCTCCCTCTCACTCAGCGTGGTTACATGGATTCGAATAACTGGCTTAATCGGACTGAAATCGAATTATCCGTTTCATGTGAACACCTTTGTCCGACTGTGTGCGGTCCGACTACGATCCGACTAACACCCCCCGATAACTCGATCCGATCCAGTGGATAGTTTGACTATTGCGGCATGTAACGGTGAATCGGATGAGGAACTGGACGTTGCGTCTTTGCGCATGCTTGAGATCCCGACGACGTCTTCTCTCCGTTATCAAATCAGCCAATAGCGCCATTTGCATTCGCTGTGCTCCTATTAACATCATGCAAAAACAGTAGAGGGATGTAGCTTCACCTTGCTCTCCAAATCGCCATCTTTCTCGTAACGTTGATGTTGTTGTTGTTGGTTGTTGTTGGTAGTGGTGAAGAGGTCAAGCGGAAATGGCTGTATCACAACTAGTTGTAATGAAAACAGCGGCACCTATCGTATCGGATATGACATGCTTTCGGCCAATGATTCGATTTATTCACTGCCATGTATATTGGGATAATAGCACTTTCCCTGAAAGAGAGCATAGTCCGACTAAGCAAAGATTCGAATTATACCATCATGTAAACACACTGAGTCTCTCATTGTATATTCCTGAAGAACTGAAGTATGCGGAAGAAGGACCAAGTCTCCTCCTACAAGTCAACTCCTACAGAATTACACAAACAAAACTGGGACTCACAAATAAAAAGCAGGGCTGAATAACACTACTAGCGATGAAAAACGCCATAGGTACCTGCCTCCATCTTTAGGGACAGAAAACTCTTGCTCTGCTTTCTATCGCCTAAAACATCTAGCCAGTGATGTTAGAACAGGTATCAGTAGAATCCATCAAAATCCGACACGCTTCTTAACTTGGATGTAGACTAAAGTTTTAAATTACCACACCGGTGATTTGATGTTGTAATGTCACACAACTCACAAGTGACGGCTTTAAACAAAAATGTTACAGGGCTACGGAACTAGAGAACACAGATGGATGCAAAGACCAGAGTGAGACACGCACTAAAGGTCTTTGTTGTTTATGAAATACTGGCTGGGGGAGTTATGGACCTTCTAGCAGGATGCTATGCAAGTTTTCAATCATAATTGGAGCAGCGGTGGGCGTATCCCAAAATGTAGTCCCTAAGCTTTCAAATCCTACAATACCCGTAATGCAACTGTACAGCATCTGAAGCACCTTACCTGGTAAACACGTACAGACGTCATACCGCAGACTAAAATGCTGGCTTTCTCATATCAATTTGTAGTATCCATGCTTTTGCTGAGATAACCGTGGCGATGCCACTATGAAATCCTCTGGGTTATTTCCTAGTCTATTTATTTTTTAGTCCTATGATTACTTAAAGCTCCCTTTCAATAGCCTGTAGATGGGGACACGTCTTGACACATCTGCAGAGTCAAAGCTCGGACATTTGGGGTTGCTACGTGTCTCTAGTGCGCCTCGACACTTTCAGACAACTTTCTCCCTTGCAACCCCACAGCATGACTCTTCACCACCTTCTACAGCTGCATGTAGAATATGGGAGGGTCCAAGGTGACTCCGCTGTTGGGATCGTTGGCGTACTGCTGAAACGACAGTGGCAGCGCCGCTGCAGTTTGCTCATCCGGTGCCTGCCGGGCTTTAGCGGCCCACTCATCCTCCTCCTCCTTCAGTCCCACGGGTAGCGGGTTGCTGTAGATGTAATAGATCCTGGAGTTGTCCCTGGCCGCCTCTGGTTTCCTGAAGAAGGCGAGAGGGTTGATGAAGCTGGTGGACCTCTTCACTGCTTTGACGGCCACGGGGTCCGCCGGCTCGCCCCGGGTCACTGCACTCTCATACACATGGGCTCTCTTTGACTGCCTGGTGGAGAAGACGACTGCACTAGTGACTCTTAATGTAACTTAATGCCTCGGGCTCTATAATGCACGGTATTCTTTGAAGTACCAACACTCAGTGCAAGTGCACTTAATATTAAGACATCAACGAGGAATCTCTCCTCCTGCGTGGGAACTTCCATGGAAAGAAGTAAAGGTGAGAAATAATCAAAGCACATCGGATTCGTGATCCTCACCTGGTTCGGTTGTAGCAGACGGTGACGCAGTACAGGCCGGTGACAGTGAGGATGCACAAGGCCAGGGCAATGATGACGATGTTAAACACTTGGAACTCTGAGAAGAATAAGGAAAAGGAAGAACGGGCTTCAGTGGAAAGAGTAAAACGGAAGTAGCATTCCTTCGGTTCCCTGAGGTGGAAGTGAACTGATATAACACAGCACAACACACACAGCACAACACACCGTTGAGAGCTGCGTCCGTCTCCTGGTCGTGTAGCCCCAAAGCCGCCGTCCCGTTCAGATGGCTGTCTGCCGTCATGGCTCCGTCCTGTCGGGCTCCACTCATGTTTCTGCCATTGGCTTCCAAAACATGGACTGAACGCTGAGCTTCACTGGTTTCAATAGAAAAATCATGTGACACAAACAGTTCGACTCCGTCACCGTGGAGACACCCCTTCTTTTGTCTAAGCCCTCAGTTCAAGTTGGACACCCCATCTTCTCCCTCCCTTCTGCTCCCCTTGTTTACTGTTCATTATTCTGCTCAGCTTTTTTGGGGCACACTGAGGGGAGGTTGGGCCTTTTTAGTGTTTGCAACAAGCTCTGTGTGGTAACCCCAAACCAGAGAGTTTGCATGAGTTCAGTTAGCAAAGACCACCACCAAAATGAGTGGGAGGAACTTCACCAGTTAGCTTTGAATATTGACTTTTTAACTTTTTGTGTTGTTGAAAGCAATCTGATGTTAGATGATGCATCCATAAGTAAATGTCCCACACTAAAAACCATCTGAAGCTAAAAAGGGCTTCAGCTGTATCTTCTCTAAAATGTCTGACCATTTAAAAGAAGATCCATTGCAATTTACCAAAGTCTAATATTAAATATATGGATAGTATAATAAAATGAAAAACTTGTGATAGGATGACAACAGAAGTTTGAGAAGCTGAAGAACCTAAGCCACTAAGAAATGATCATCCTTCCGCCGAATCACATCTTTACAACAAAAGAGTCTGCTCTAATAAGACAGCATTTAAATCGTCACACTCGGACGTACGGACCATAACTGCCACACGTCTCTACCGGTTGCCTTTTAATTCATCGCTGCTTGTTCTGTGTGTTTTGGGGAAAGGACTCCATGAAACAAGGACCAGGTCCTCGGGCCGATGCCAGAGCCAAAAGCAGCCATGAGGCAACAAAGACAGCATTCTCTTTTCTCCTCATGCATCACTTCACCCTGTAGCATCGTTGGAGATATTTTGCAATTAGTTAAGCTTCTAATTAAAGCAGGGTTTTGTTTCCCTGTTTGACGAGACAAGCTGCTCTATAAAGTGAACTTGCAGAGAATTTGTGAGTGACCTTTGTGTCAACCTGCTCAAAGGGTGGATTTGCCTCACATGATGATATATAGTGAGTGTTGTAAGCTAAAGGAAAGAGCAGGAAGTGGTTTGTAACTTCATTTAGTTAATTTGAGAGAAATAGTGTAATTAACCAAAAATGGCATACAGATGTAATGGAACAACTGGACACCAATCGCAACCTCAAGCTGTCCTTCACACATTCTCAACACAGAGAATATCAGCAGAAACTGTAAATTAGATAACTTAGTCTACATCTTTTTTTGCTGCTATGTTTGAGATTGAACCATCCTCCACTAGATGTCAGAGCTTGCCTGAGAGAACGTAGCTCTCAGTTCATCGGTCAGGCAGCTTGATCTTCAGTCAGGCGGTGACCTTTATACTCCAAATCAGGTAGGTGGAGAGAACGAATGATCAACCTCCTGTTTGATTATCACATCCACCCCGGCTCTCTGCAGAGCAAAGCTCTTTGGATTTAGGGGGCACGTGGGAGGCATTAAGTTGGTATGGTTTATCTGAGCAGATCAGTGTGCATAAACCAACCGTGTGTGGCAGCTGCAATGGGAATGAGAACGGCAATATTTCCACTCAAAACGAATATATTTACACTGCAGAGGAAATTCCGAAATGTATCATGGGTCACCTGCTGGAATAATAAAATGAAATGCTTTTATTTTAATTGTAACATTTTTTTCATCATAGAGGCGTGGTTCTAATCATGATTGTAGTATTACCATATACTTAATGCGCATGTACTCACACAAAATACCATTTCAATGTTCATTTTCGTTTCATCCTACCTGGTGATAAAAAGTCGATCGATTTAAATTTTTTGATGAATTACAATAAAGCTGGGAACATTTTTTTTTTGCTTGATTGGACTGAAAACAAAGCTCAATTAACAAAAAGAGATCAGAGCCATCAGGTTTATTTTGTATTTTGTGGGTTGATATCTGATTGAAAAATTCTAGTTTGAACTCCTGACTCTAGATTTTTTCTTCTACGTCCAGTATGTTGATATTCGATATTTAAAATGTTAGTCCGCTAACTTTGCTGAGTAAAGTTCAATTGAGCTACTATTCAGTTTTCGTAATGTTTTTGGTAAAATTTCATATACAAATTGTAGCAGAGGCACGTAGATCATAAAGGTATTGGCTACATAGTGTATGAAAAGATCAAAAAAGGATTAAGTAAAACTGTGGTTGATAATGATGTCAGCCATGAATATATCATGACAGACATAAAAATGTGCATACAAAATGCGACTAAATTGAAGAAACTGGTGACAATACATAGTAAAGTCAAACAAAATAAACATTTAAGAAACACTCCAATTCAATAAGTATAGTTTTAGGTTGTAATATATTCCTTAATTTTAAATTAATAGGATTAAGACACGCTATGCTATGCTAGTACACATCCTCATGCAGATACTGACACATCTTTCTCTCATATTTACAACAATCTAGTCTTTATAATGTTTATATTTCATGAGCCTTCTTGATGTGTTGCCAGCTTGAATAAGAAGTGTATCTGTGAGTTTGTCAGCTTTAAGAAACACACTATATAGAATATTTAATGTCAGTGTTAAAGCTCGCTCTTACTTTCACAGCTTATCCACCACCAGCACCTCACTTATCAGCGCAGCACACTGTTAACAAATGACCTCGTTCGTCTCTCCCATAAAGGTCCTTATCTGGCAGCCCGAGTATTTTGTCTTATATTTTTCTTTTGAGGCATTTTAATCTTCAGTAGTTTACAGCCACTGAGCAGGAGAGATTTCCTGTATTGCTCAATGACTTGTGTTTATTATACACACTGGCTTCGACCCAACATCCTCATAATGAGTCCCTATTTCCTTGGATTTTTTCCTTCCCCCCCTTTTAAAATATTTTTTCTCATTCAGTTATTTTCAGTTTGGCCCAAAAACTGAGTTCTTCTTTTGAACTTCTCCAAAAAAACAAGGCCTTGATTAACCAAATGTCCACATTCACGTCGTGGATCCACTGAGGGTAATCATTTTTTCGAAGGGGCTTTTCAATTGATGCCTTTTTTTCCACCATTTTTAGACGTAAAAGGAAGTCCACTCAATCAATCGTCTCCCCTACAATCTTTGCCAAACCCTCCCCACTGTCGCTGACCGGCCAGTAAATTCCTGACCATCCCTCATCGCTGAGCCTCACCCCTCCTCACCCTCTGCTCCCCCGCCTCCATGTTTATACAGAGGCTGGTGGGGAATTAGCATTATGGGGCGGTCCATTTGTTCTGACGTGGTTCAGCGGGAAGGTCCTGCCTTGATTTATTGCACTTGTCGGTCAAACTTGTGACGGTAAATTTTAGTACAGACGAAGGCCGAGTATTTGCTTGTTTGCCTCTTTTATTTGGATTATTTGGATTCTTCTGTGATCACGCTGCAGAGTTCGAGGGACATCTGTACATGGTGAAAGACTCGCTGCTGATGGAGGTTTCTTATTATATACAGCAGAGGTTATGAGAAAGGAAAATGTGAGATTGTTATTATTATTATTGCCATTACATAATTAATTAGTTCAAATGATTGTAAGAGTGATTTTGTGAAAGGTCTTTGTCTTGTAAACTTACTCCCAACTCACATAATTTATACATTATTTAAGAAAATACTTCTTCTTCAATCAATTTAGTCTCACATCTGATCATTACAATTTCAGATATAAAGTATCACATTATCAGATTAGGTGCATAATGTAAATTATCAATTTAAAGGGACACTAAACTTGTTCAGATGTTCCGTGTTAAACAGTGCAATTGCTTATTAATTTCATCGGCTTGTGTCAGTTCACCGCTGTTTTCCCAAAGTAATTCCGTATGAGTACGGACACATATATCAAAGACAAACCAGACATGTGGCAGCATGAAGTTAATAACTAATAGAGAATAAGCCATGTGGGACTTACAGTTTCAGAGACATTTATATTTATGTGATTTAATGATTCCTGATGTCATCGCTACTCTTTCCAATTAGAGTCAGATCAAGGTTGGAGGCCCCAGGTAGACGCCTGTGAACCTTTACCAAGCCGTGTTAAAAAGAGGCTTGTACGTGGGCCATAAAACATGCTAATGCATTACTTCCTCGACCCCGTCTGACCCTGAAACCTCATACTGTATGCTGCACAGGAAATGAGCTCTCACGTTGGGCTTATTTACAGATGGCGTCAAACAAACACAGGAGCGAACAGGGAACACTGACGACGAGAGCCGTCGCAAAGAACAATAATAAAGTCAGTTAAAGCTTTCCGGTCTCCCTCACAATTTACAATATAGATTTTCTCTCCATTACCTATTTCAATTTAATTTTCTAAAAAGTACATAATCTCCTCAAATCTGACAATATCATTTAATGGTCTCTGCTAAATCTCCAGTTTGGGATTCTTTGTTCCCCGGCCCGCATGGTCTGAAGACGGTTACTCTTTAAGCTCGGCTTTAGCTTGTGACAGAATCAGTACTTTATGTTTCTACAACAGAGATGCTGTACAGCAGGTCAGTGTGTCTGTTATTTTGCATTAATCGTTATCTTTGATGTTAATGTAGAGACACGTCCATGTGCACAAAAGTGCTTTCAATTCTTCCGGCTTATTAGATCTCTGCTGGAATTCTCAGGCTTGATGCTCCAACAGGAAGACTCACAGCACCAAACTCCTCCTTTAGCTCTGTCCCACCAGTAACCACATGACGTGGTTTAGCCTTAAACAAGGTTTCCAAAAATCTGCGATAATCCGTATCACACTGTATGCTGTCAAATACAGGGAGAAGGAGGGAAGAAAACTATTTTCAAAACACAACCGGTTTGAGAAGCAATTTACTCAAAGAAAAATATTTAGTACAAAGGCTGTTTTGTGTTACATTAAAGTCCAGGAGAAGAGGGAACCGAGTCGTTACACTGTCTACAGATGTTTCACAAAGGTATTAGCTGTAACTAACAACAGACCCGTCCTTTTTTCATCGTCGAATTAACGTGTGATGTCATTGGACCCAGCTGTTGGTCATTCATTCACTCTGCAGCAGCTCTTAATACAGTATTGTTTTTAAAATTCTGTTAGCAGTTACAGGCCAGATGTTTCCCAACGCATTTGATTTAAGCCAGGCTAAAACACT